CCCCAAAACCCCAAAACCCCAAAACCCCAAAACCCCTGGAGGATTAAGTAATACTGAAAACACAAATCTGCACAGCTAGATGAGATAATCATAAAGATCATAGAGATAGACCTTCAAAAGTTCTAATCTCTTGTAGTCTAAGCTTATGGATTTGTACAATGAAGCACCCTTACCTTCTGGCCTCGGATTACAGCTCCAGATGTAAGAACGGAGAGCTTATTCCAAAATTTATCAATAAATTAGAGAGCTTTATTTAATGGCTCTTTGCGGGGCGATCAGACTTTCAGTATTCGGCTCATCCTTCGAGTACTGAAAGACCTTATTGAGAATCTTCCTCATCAAAGTTGATTGATTGAGCCTCTTTAGCAGAAATTTGTCCAGGAGCATTAAGAAATTCAACAGCTTTATTCTGTCTTTCCAGGGATTTACGTACTGCGTTCAGGGCGTCTGTGTCTAAGACTGGAGGTGTTAGGTTCTCAACCTCCCCTATTGCAGGGTCTTCAGATTCTAAATTCTGGAGAAGATCTTTGATAAATTGTTCGTAATTAGGGTGTTTTTCCTTAAGTGTTTCGAGCTTCTTCTTTCATTTGAGTTCCATCTCTTTTCGCTCTTCAATAGAGGTTTTCTTTTTGACCTTCAGATTTTCAATATTTCTATCAAGATCAGTAATTCTCTTATTTGCATTGATAAGATTCTTTTGATAAAAAGTGTGATTTCTGTTAATGAATTGAAGAGTTTCTAGATCATTATTAAATTTTTCATCAAATTCATTATTTTTCTTGCTCACGTTCCACAGTATTGTCAGGGATGTACACATCTTCGTCTAACTCCTTGGTCAATTTCTGTATTATCGAATTCTGAATACTAATAGTGTCACCTATACCCATCACATATATCCACCCTAGGGCCAAAACTCAATTAAAACATCAAATTTTTGCTTAAAACCTTCTAAAATCTCCTTCTAACCAAAGTTTTTAACTTTTCAATTATCTATTACTTTCAGCCTTCAAAATGCTCTTATACTTATTCTCAAAGTCAGAATTTTCGAGTTTAAAATCACATCGATCGCAAACCCTATATTTCTTCTTATCAGATAGTGAGAGCACCCTGCGGTTATCTCCACAGTCACTTCAGATGCACCTTGATCACCGATTACAGTTCTTCTTCTTTATAAATAATGTGAACTTTTTGTCTCAAAGTTGGCAAGTCTCTGAATCATGATAATTCTTCTTCACTGATTTCACATCAAAATGTTCCGGAAGATTGGAACTCTTCACTTTTAGCTGAAAGATAGCAGAGGGATACTTACATTACTGATGCTAAAAGTGCTCTGATAGGCACTTCCTTGGATAGAGCCCCGGCTTAGACTGTTCCTGCCAGGGTCAAAAATAGACATATTTCCTGACCTTGCCTGAGGTAAGAATGTGCTAAGGGTATTCTTCCGATCAGCCGCTAGGAACAAACTTGAGCCAATTGTTTTAGATTTTTTTAATTCTAATTTCTTCGGGCTGTCGTCGCTTTCTGAAGAAGCTAATGATTCTCATTTGGTCTCCATTTTTAGGAGTTATTTATATATAATTACCTCTCAAAAACTGTAATCTTTACTGGGGTTTTGGGGTTTTGGGGTTTTGGGG